GACGATCCGGCCAGCTGATCGATCGATCAATATATACAGCCAAAGACAAGCAGGTACTGGGGGTCGCCGTCACCGCGCGCTTCGCTGAGGCCGGGCCGCTGCCGTCCGCAGAGGCCTCCGGCGCTGGCGCCGGCGGCTGCTGGGTCGAGCTCCTCGATTGCCTCCTCGAGTCAACCGCGCTGTATACTAACGCGAGGGACGGCGGCGCTGTAAACAATCGCCGTAAACGAAACGGCGCGGCCAGGCCTCGACGCGGGCATCGTCGCGGCGCTGTATCGTGCCGTACGGGGATCGCGAGGAGACGGAAGGGAACCGTACAGGCGCTGGGGCTGGGGTGATTTGCAAAATCTTGGATTAGATGGGATGAGTGGGGGTGGTTTAAGTGCTAAAATAACCCACCTTTACCTCTAACCATCGGATTAGAGTCCAGTGGTCTAGATTAGAGTTTGCATAGTTTACACAGCTCCTTGGTTTCCATAGCATACGCTGCCAATTAAGATAATGTATAAATGATAATATCTAACAATAAGATAATAGTTCGTCCGTAATAAATGTCATGATCATGATTATTTATATTTTTTTATCTTATGTAACCCGTCTTCATGCGAGCAACCAAACAGGTTTTCGGGACAGCCTAGCTTGTGCAAACAGGCAACCAAACACCACGCTCTTGCATGCATTGGGCCTGGCTACCGAGAGCCAGGCTCCTCCCATGCGAGCTAGGATGAGTTCTTCCACGAACCAAACAGACCCTAACTCAAATAATTGGACCATGAATTCCTGCTAAAAATAAAAATTTACATGACATTCATCATAGTTATAGGGCTTAAATCTAATCAACTCTAAAAGTTTTGGTGACTATGTGTACGCAAGAATGTACCATGTGAAAATGAGAAAAAATGGACACTCTGCACTTACCATAGGAATTTCGCTAGGACGAATTTCACAACAATGCGACACAATATTGCTCCACCGGAGGCCTAGTTGATCCTTCTAAACAACTTGAAAAGATACGTGTTAATTCTTCTTTGTGCAAAATCTTGAAGCCAACTCTTGCCAAAATTGAGCTTTCTTACCACCTCGATCAATTCAAACTATTAACAGCTTGTTTGGTTTGGCAGATCGGTCCAGAATGATCCGATCCTAAGACTGAACTTTTGTGATGTTTGTTTGGTTTGCGTCATCAGTCTGTGCCGCTAAGCTCCAGCAGCGCCCTGCAATCTTCGTTTTTCTTGTGAAGCGAACAACCGTGCGTCCGTGCCCTTACATGTCAAACTAAACGCAGATTAACACAGCAATCACAGGGATGCTTTGAAGTCCACCGGTTGGCGCCCTTCGTCTCATAGCTTTACTGTCCTATGACTAACACGGTTGAGTTGTGATCTTAATTTAGTTATGTACAAGATAAAGGCTAATTTTTGTTTGAGCGTAGCGAGGCTCGTCGCCAGGAGGCTTAGTATGATCTGATATGCCTGCTGATTATTCACAGTTGAAGTTTTCGGTTACACTGCTTATGCTCATATTGATAATGGAAAGCTAGAATCTAGAGTCATTAAGTGTCTATTTCTTGGTTATGGTTCTGGAGTTAAAGGATATAAGTTATGGAATCCTGAAACTAAAAAGACTTTCATGAGCAGGAGCGTTGTTTTCAATGAATCTGTTATGTTTAATGATTGCTTGTCCACAGATGTTTTTTCAGTTGGTTCTAATGAGGAACAGCAACATGTTAGCGTACAGGTGGAGCACGTAGATGATCAGGAAACTGAAATTGTTGATAACAATGTTCATGATATTGTTCAGCATTCACCTCCTGTTTTGCAGCCTCAAAATTAGTCTATTGCAGATCGCAGAACAAAGAGGAGTTGTGGACCTCGTCCACGTTTAATTGAGGAATGTGATATTGTTCATTATGGCTTTAGTTGTACTGAACAGGTTGAGAACATTCATGAGCCGGCTACGTACACTGAAGCTGTTGTTTCTGGTGACCGCGAGAAGTAGATTTCCGCTATGCAAGAAGAGATGCAGTCACTTGAGAAAAATGGCACATAGAATATTGTGCGCTTGTCTAAACACAAGAAAGCCGTTCGTTACAAATGGATCTTTAAGAGAAATGAGGGTTTATCTCCTAGTGAGCCTCCAAGATTTAAGACAAGGTTAGTAGCATAAGGTTTCAGTCAGATTTCTAACGTTGATTATAATGATGTGTTCTCTTCAGTTGTAAAGCATAGTTCAATTCGTATATTTTTCGATATTGTTGCTATGCGAGATCTTGAGCTTGAGCAGTTAGATGTAAAGACTGCGTTTTTACATGGAGAGCTCGAGGAGGAGATATACATGGACCAGCCAGAAGGGTTCATAGTACCTGGTAACAAGGATCATGTTTGTAAATTAAAGAGGTCCTTATATGGTTTGAAACAGTCTCCTTGTCAATGGTATAAAATGTTTGATTCTTTTATGATGTCACATGGTTTTAAGATGTCTGAATTTGATAGCTATGTGTATATTAAATTTGTTGATGGATCACCTATATATTTGCTGTTATATGTTGATGATATGCTGATCGCTGCCACGAGCAAGAAAGAAATCACTACGTTGAAGAAACTGTTGAGTAGTGAGTTTGAGATAAAGGATCTTGGTGCTGCTAAGAAGATTCTAGGTATGAAAATTACAAGAGACACAAATTCTGGTTTGTTATTTCTTAGTCAGCAAAGTTATATTAAGAAAGTTGTTCATCGTTTCAACATGCATGATGCAAAGTCTGTTAGTACTCCTATTGCTCCTTATTTTAAATTATCAGCTTTATAATGTGCTAGTACGGATGAGGATTTTGGGTACATGTCAAAAGTTCCATATTCTAGTGATGTTGGTTCTTTGATGTAAGCCATGGTTTTCTCTCGTCCTGATTTATTATATGCTATGAGTTTGGTTAGTAGATACATGGCTAATCCTGATAAAGAATATTGGAAGGCTCAGTGGATTTTCAGGTACCTTCGTGGCATAACAAATGCCTGTTTGAAGTTTGGCAGGACTGATAAGGGACTCACTGGCTACGTTGATTCAGATTTTGCTATTGATTTAGATAAGAGGAGATCTCTCACAGGTTATGTGTTCATTATTGGTGGTTGTGCTATGAGTTGGAGGGCAACATTATAGCCCGTTGTTGCCCTGTCTACCACTGAAGCAGAATACATGGCTGTTGCTGAAGCATGTAAAGAATAGGTTTGGTTGAAATGTTTATTTTCTGAGCTTTGTGGAGATGATTCTTGCATTAATTTATTTTGTGACAGTCAAAGTGCTATATGACTCACTAAAGATCAAATGTTCCATTAGAGAACGAAGCACATTGATGTCAAATACCATTATGTTCGCGATGTGGTCGCGCAAGATAAGCTGAAGGTATGCAAGATAAGCACACATGCTAATTCTGCTGATATGTTGATAAAGCCAGTTCCTGTTGCTAAGTTTGAGCTTGGCTCAAGCTTAGTTGGTATAATTATTTAGCCCAAGAGGCTATTTGGTATCGGAAGTATTTCTTTGTTATTTCAGGGTGAAGGGTCGTTTTATGCTACAAGAAGGAATTTGTCTCAAGGTGGAGTTTGTTGAGTTGTGATCAAAATTTAGTTATGTACAAAATAAAGGCTAATTTCTGTCGGGTGTGGCTGAACCATCTACGATGGGGGGAGCGAAGGGAGGAAGCTTAGATAAGAGAATACGCTCTCGCATCGCTTTTTTGTAGAAAGCTCGACCAGCGAGAAAAAGTGTTTGGCCCGAGCCAAAAAGAGGTTGATCCACTTCATTCGCCAAGCGAATGATCTTTCATGTAAGCCGTCGTCTTGGGATAAGAAAAGTTGTAAATCTCCGACATTTGTAACCTCACCCGATATAGTGAAGATTTGCTGGCTAGTGCCCATGATTTTTTCCCTTCTTCCTTGGAAGGGTTTTCCACGTTAAAATCTCGTGTCCCCTTTATTTGATCTACTGTTCTTCGTCGTTTATATTCCCTATCGTTTCTAACAAACATAACAATTTTTAAAACCCATTTCCATTGCATCCTCATCATGTTACAAAGGTACAAACCAGCCAACCCATATGCCAAGTTACTAAACTAAACTACGATATCCACCATCGAGCGAGAACAAACGTCAACATGCATTGACCAATGCAGCAATCTTGATCGCTAGCACTGTACAGCTTTATATATCTGGAAAAAAACCAGATCACCCATCAAATAATAATCACCGTCACATGCATCCATGGTCACGGGAAGCTTAACGCTCTAATAATTTAATGAACGTTCTCGTTCAAAAAATAAAATTCAGTGAACATTGCACCGAATAAACGGCACACCGAGCAGCATCCATGAACCATCACAGGCGCTGAGCAGTCGAGTTATTAAGGCCGCCCAGCCTAATCACTCCGCTTCGTGCTTGTGATCGAGCAGCTGTTGCTGTGTGTGTAACAATGAAAGGGAAGGCCTCCTCGGTCGCGCTGTTCCTGGCCGTGAACCTAGCGGTGTTCGCCATGGCCAGCGCCAGCGGTGGCGACTGCCCCACGCCGCCATTATCTGAATGCTGAACTCCGCTCCCCGATCGTCAACGACATTATCGATCGTCACCACGACCTTCTTATGGACCGAGATTATTTTGGCTTATGGCATGTTACAAGGGGTACAAAAAGACATCGAGTTCGCCAAGATCGCCCAAATAGAGTAGCGTAAACCGCAAACTGGAACATGCGTCCGCCACTACAGCAATCTTGTTCGCTAGTTCGAACCCATCCAGATCGGCATCCCGCACCCTCATCTCAACCTCACATGCATATGCTAACTAGCTAGTTGATCATCGCATCATCGTCGCGCTTCGTTCCGGCGGCCACCTATAAATACCGCACCCGAACACCGTCTCCAACCATCACAAGCACTTAGCAATCGAGTCATCAAGAGCTAGCTTCTCTCGAAGCTCACTCTGCCTTGTGCCTGTGATCAACTGCTGTGTGCAGCAATGGCAGGCAAGGCCTCGGTCGCGCTGTTCCTGGCCGTGAACCTGGTGGTGTTCGCCATGGCCAGCGCCTGCGGTGGAGACTGCCCCACGCCGACCCCTTCGACGCCGACCCCCACGCCGCCAACGCCGTCGACGCCGACCCCGACGCCGGCCTCGTCCGGCAAGTGCCCCCGCGACGCGCTCAAGCTGGGCGTGTGCGCCAATGTTCTGGGCCTGATCAAGGCCAAGGTGGGCGTGCCGCCCACGGAACCCTGCTGCCCGCTGCTGGAGGGGCTCGTCGACCTCGAGGCCGCACTCTGCCTCTGCACCGCCATCAAGGGCAAAATCCTTGGTATCAACCTCAACCTGCCCGTCGACCTCAGCCTCATCCTCAACTACTGCGGCAAGACCGTGCCCACCGGATTCAAGTGCCTCTAAGCATGCATTCATCAGCCGCGCGCTCGTCGTCGCTGCAGAGTGCGCTGGATCGCTTGAATTCAGGTTTATTTGGTTGTGTATACGTGCTAGCTGCTCTGTATGCATGCGATGGCCACGCACGTAGCTCTTGTTTGATCAGCTTTGCTTCTGTTGCTTGATTTCCGATATGTCTGGTTTAATCATTTTGTATTCGATTTCGATCGGTGCGTATGAATAAATACTTTTATCTGTTCAGTACGTACGTACATGTTCTAAATTCGATTCAGCTTGTACCGTATTCTTAATACAGTGTGTACGTGAGACGTGCCCTGTGCAAACTTTGCTAATTTGCACGTAAGTGTACGTAATGGATGGATTCTCTGGTATAAATTACAAGTAGCACAGCTAGATTTTATTTTATATAATCGATCATAGGCTAAACTACTTTGGCACGGCGCACGCGATCGTTGCCCGCGCGCATTTAGCCAACTTTATATTTGAACCTTGTCCCCTTTAATGAAATACAGACCAACAATGGGTTTGGTTGAGGAAAAAACGGTAATGCTGTGGTACGGGTGTCCGTCCACCCGGACGCTATTTGGTATGGCCACGACGCGAGCCCAATTATCCCCTTCCATCCGCTCGGGAGTTTCTTAGAAAAAATCATCTCGTCCAGTCGCCCTTATCCTCTCATCCACTCGTTCCTATCTACTCTAGGGGCAATGTCCACCACCACCGCAAGCCAAGAGGCACGAACACGCCAAGGGAAGTCAGCAAATCGAGACAAGCGCTACCCCGGTCACGGCCGTCATGGGTTTCCCAATGGGCTACTCGGAGCTGGTGCTCCCGAACCAGCTGCTCCACCTCCTCCTGCTGTTGGGGTACATCCGTCGCTTCCTCCTCTGGGCGTTCGAGGCCGTGGCCTCGGCGACCTACTGGATCTCGAGGACGACCACCAGGTGCTGCTATAAGATGGCGCGGCGCGCGGTTGCCCTCTCTCAATCGTGCGACCCCTGGCACGCCGACGAGCCTCCATTCTTCCAAGTAGCAAAAGATGTTACGCTGAAAGCACATGTTGCAAGTGTATGTTTCAGATGTTTCAGAAGTATGTTGCAAGTATTTCATACGTGTTGCAAAAGTTGATCGGGAATGTTGCATATGTTGCAAATGGTTGTACACGTATGTTGCAAGCTTCTATCTCCAATGTTTCATCTGTGTTTTCAACGTATGTTGCAAGTGCGTTTACTTGGATGTTGCATATGTTTCACACATGTGTTACAATTATTTTATCTGAACGTTGCGTATGTTTGTAATGGTTTTCAATCGTTCTTTAGGTGTTTCTTGCAAGTGTTTGTGAAGCATGTTCAAGTGTTTTATCTGTCTTCGGATATATGTTGTAAGTATTACATCTGAATGTTTTAAAAATAGATCGGATATTGCTGAGTGTTGTAATATCACCCGTCTGCTGCAGCTGCCAGAGGCAGTGCGAGGGGGTGGGCGGGGCGCAGACGTGACGGGGGCGAAGCGCCGTGGGCGCAGACGCCGCGTTGGGCTGACGCGGGGCGGAGTGCAAGCGCGGAACGGGGTGCAGGCGCTAGCAGTACCGAGGAAAAAGAGAGTAGCGCCGCTAAAGAAATGCAAAGTATCTATTCCCAGGCACATCGGTGCTCTCATGTCTGACCAGGTTCGATCTGAATGTGCACGAGAGAGCAGTAGTCGCAGCAGCTTGCTCCCCAATGGCACACGCCGTACGTGTACGCGCACGTTGCCGTACCTGGGAAATTCGTGCTTCACTTCCAACCAAGTTCCAACGGCTATGACGAGGGAGGTTGGCAGGCTGTTGCGGGGCACGCTTCGCCACGGGTTTTCTCTTTTTCTGGGCCTGCGGCCTGTACAGGCCACGAGCGAGCGTGGATAGGCCAGCCCGTGGCATTTGGTCATTGTGGTGTTTGGGTCGGAACTCCGAAGGGAAAAGGTCTTTGCCGCGTGAGGGACTCGGCAGACTGCTAATCGAGTGAGGCCTCCTGTGGAACGTATCCCTTAGGTTCTAAATTACAAGTGGTTTTGGCTTTTTTTTTTACTTCTATTTTGCTATGTATTTAGATATAATAATAATAATATATTATTATGTCTAGATACAAAGTAAAATAGATGATTAAAAAATTAAAATAACTTATAATTCGGAACAGAGGGAGTAGGATTTTTTCTTATTCCTACGTTTTTCTCGTAAAAAATAAATTGATTCTTGTGAAATTTCTACGTTCCAAAGGGGCCATGAAAATGGAGAAATACCTTCCTTTCCTTGAACGAACAGTGCATGCTTTGCTGATGCTAAAAAGCTGCTAACCAACTAAAGATGTAGTTAGCCGAGTTCTATACGGTGGTCTAGTTCTGGTTGCTACCCAAGGCAATGAAACCATCTATCTACGCACCACGCGCATCATCGTCAGAGGCAAGGGCCATCGCGCAGGAGCTGCTGCAGGCGTATCTCAGCCTCCCGGAATGCTCCAAAGCAACCAGAATCACAAACACAACACACACCCATGGTCAGGTCGATCATTCCGTCCCTCCCAGCGAGTCCACAGCCGCTCGCTGTTTCGACGAAGCGCGCGCGCGATAAGATCGAGTATTCTAGACTAATCCCGAATAATAATGGAGGTTATGGCTCTGTTCGCTTGAGCTTATAAGCTAGAATTAGCCTTATTTTTTTAGCCATGGAAACAGTGTTTTTCTCTCATAACAAATCAGCCCTACAAATTAGCAATAAGGGAGCCCATAATCCAGATCTCGGATCCTGTTCCGGCCGCAAGTTTATTCGTTCCGCCTCCCAGGCCAGTTGATCTGTCGAAACACGTTCTTCTCTATGGGTGGATAGCAGGCACCGGCTGGTCGAAACGTATACCAACAAAACCACGCATGGACCTTGTACCATACCAAACCATGGATCGCAGGATCAGTGCGTCCGTCCAGCGACCCGTGATCGCTGCTCAGGACGGACCGGAAGCCAAACGATGCTGCATACGACGGCGAAGGCCCCAGTGATGACAGATATTTCAGATTTCAGATCTTGTGCGTGCGTACGTGTGGCGTATACCAAGAACAGGGACCAGCTGGGAGCTAGCTAGGTAACCCTGACGAGACTGGGACGCGTCACCTGTCGAATGAATGGTCGAATCCAATGGGCCGGCCTCAGGTCTTGACTGTAGTACTATGCGGTACGTATGCCGGTATTCATGCATGCAGTAATGTCTGATCACCGTACAGTCGTTGAAATACGAATCATATAGCATTCCGCGGAAGAGAAAGCAGATGCCTCGGCACGCAGTCACCATGAGTTTTGAGGTGGAGCTGTTGAGGGCGAACCCCACGGCAACCAACATGAGGACACAGCAACAGCCGCACGCTGGTTTGTTGGCTCGAACTGTGCGGCCCGTGAGCGCGCCGGGCTGGCCGATTCTCTCGCGCGTACCCCATCGCCAGGCCAGCAGCGCAACATCTCCTGCTGTGTGCTGTATACTGTAGAGTGTACTGCAGTGAGCAGCTGGCGACGGGGACGGCAACAGCTGGGAGCCTGGGAGGCGACGCGCCGACGCTGATGTGCCCCTGCCAGGTTCGGGCGCGTCGGCCCCATGGTTCGGGCTAGCTTCCAAGCCATCCTCTCAGCTTTTCCTTGCCACGACACTACTGCCAGAACAAGGCTCAAAGAAACGTACCGCTCGCCCAGCTCCCACATGGGCTTCTTCTGCCTACCGGCTTGATCATTCAGAGCAAGCCAAATTAAATAGAGATCAGAAATGCAGAAACAATTCGCTGGGGTAGTTAGTCAATAGCCATGCATGGATGATTACACTGCGTGGTTTATGTGCTCTTTCATTTAACATCCCAAACCGAGCTATACAACAATTATCGAGTACTCGACAGGAGTGAGAGCCCAGTATTGTGATTGACACTGAAGCACAACTGCACAAGCAACTTAGGAATGCTCATCCGTTGGGCTACCACCACTTTGGGGAGAGTTGGCCCAAGTATTCTGTGATCGCCTTGCATTAGTGGGCCAGGAACGGGACGTACTTCTACTTACGAGCCAAAACATACAGATTTGGTTAAAAAAGGATAGAGGTCGTTTCAAAAAAAAAAAATGGGATACAAGTACCAAGTTTTTATGTAGGCTGTATTTTGTTCTCTCTTGGTACATGTACGAGGGACATAAAACACATATGTGAACCAAACAATCATACATCTACGTGCATACTAGCTCGATGGTGGATAAATAAATAATTAAATATAGGGAGTGTTTCGATAGAAATGGGATTGTCCATTATCCTTTTTTTAGGTTAGATTGTCCATTATCTTCTCACTTCTTATTATCTTTTTCTTTTTTCTTTTCGGTTTGTGGAATAGAATTGATAGAACCACAGGTGGAGATATACAACTCCTGTTCTAAAGTGGTATGTTTACCTATATAAATGCTTTTCAAATGGCATGCGATGAAAGAATGGACTAATAGGCCATTTCTAGTGCATTATTATGTCATACATGACAAGAGGCACACATGTGACAAGGGTCACATGAGTATTTTGGTGAGATTTCATAGAGTTAATAAGGAAGTGAGACAAAAATTAATTTAGTTGTATCCTCGAGATGAGATACAACTTGAGCTATATACTCCCTCCATTTCTTTTATATGTCACATTTGCTTTGCCGTAAGTCAAACATTGCAATATTTGACCAACTATTTTTAAAAATTCTTATAGTTTCACAATATATGAATTATATATTATGATAGTATTTCTCATAATAAATCTAAAAATATGAATCTTATGACATGAATCTATATAATTTTTTAAAATTAATGGTCAAAGATACACACGTTTGACTTAGGACAAAGCAAATGTGACATATAAAAAAACAGAGGGAGTATTTAAGACTAGGAAAACAGGTATGGTCTTTGGGCCCTATGCCGGAAGAGATGTAACAATTAATGGACTTCAGGTTTCTAATAAACAATATACTAAGATACTGTATGCTCAATCTGTCCCGTAATAAATAATAACTTTCTAAAAAAATCAGAGAACGCCGGGCAACAAAATGCATATACTGTCATCTCCTTTTCTCTCTCGGAGGATATCTCCAAGATTTGGTAGTTAATATTTGTATATGCATCTATATGATTAGCTTATGCATTTGGATGCAATGTCCTATATTTTTATGGAATATTATTTTATGGGACAAATTTGAAACCCTCGAGAAGTTATTTATTTTAAGATGAAGGGAATCAAATGGGAGTTGTATATATCTTACTTAGAGCTTATGTGGTGCGGCACCTGCACCGGCTCCGTGTGCGGCTCAGCAGCGGATAGAGCCGCACCAAATGAGGCCACGAGGAGAAACGCTTCAGCACTAAACACAAAGCCGGAGCCGTTGAGGTAGCAAAACCTAGCTCCGACGGAAGGGCTTAGGCTCCAGCACCGGAGCATGACGAGAGTCGCGCCAAACAAGGCCTTATACATGGCATAGCAGCTTTGAAAAAAAAAAGTGACATGACATATTATTGGGAGTACTAGACGAGGGATCGAGCTCGTGCAAATTTACCTTATTATTATAAGGTGCCATGTGGTAGCTACATATACAGAAAAGGAGAGCTACATAAGGTCTCATGTTTCTCCTATAAATACCCCATACCCCCCCTCCCTAAACCATCCCATCTCACTGGTAGCTAGCACAAGCATAGTCGTCTCTTCTTTCTGCTTCCAGTTATTATCCACGAGCTAGTGCGCTGCAGGGCCGGGACTTGCAACTTGAGCCATGGCATCCAAGGCCGTCCTCTTCGTGGCTCTCAACCTCCTGTTGTTCACAGTGGCCAACGCCTGCGGCAGCTGCCCGACCCCAACGCCGCCACCGCCGCCGCCTCCTGCTACCCCACCCCCTCCATCCAGCGGCAAGTGCCCGCTGAACGCGCTCAAGTTCGGCGTGTGCGTCAATGTGCTCGGCCTCGTCAAAGGCGAGGCTGGTAAGGTGCCTGCTGAGCCATGCTGCAACCTCATCAAAGGCCTTGTAGACCTCGAGGCCGCCGTCTGCCTCTGCACGGCCATCAAGGCCAACGTGCTCGGCGTCGTCATCGATGTCCCTATCAAGCTCAGCGCCCTCGTCAACTACTGTGGCAAGTGCGTGCCCAAGGGCTACATCTGTGCGTAAGCTCCGCGCGGTTCCACGCGCGCTAGCTCGTAGCCGTTCACGTACGTAATTAAGCACGCACCCTGCATGGCACACATGCATTGTGTCTGCTGATCTCTTCTGTCTAGATCATTTGTGCACCTTCGGGGGTTCTACAAACCTGTAGAACCATTCCGGCCAAATACTTGTCAGTTCGCATGTACTGTCTCTTGTTGAATTTCCATTTTCTTTTGTATTTGATCATTTCTTCATAAGAGTCCGGCATCTTCGCGAAGAAAAAAGAGGAATGTTGCTTGTAGTTTTTATATTTATGTAATCTGTTGAGAGTCATTTGTTGTGTATGTAAAATCAAGCACTTGAACTTGTAATACTTATTCGATTTGTTAATTGCTCCTATCTTTTGGAGGAAGAATAATGTCATTTGGTTAATCTCTAGTGATCTACTTTTACTAGGATTCTAGCGCAATTACAACATGTTTTTCCCTTCTCCAAACGACAAGCATTTGAAATCTTAGATCTCTGTCGAGTGACTAAAATCACTTAGGTCCATATATTTCAAATAGCCACCGATATAACTCTAGCATGCACCCCTCCCCCTCTCTCCCTTTGTTTTTGCCTCCCTTAGTAATCCTACTTAGGGTCTATTTGGATTTCTTAATTAGCTTTTAAAGTTTGCTAAGGCATTATTTGGATCCACAACTAATATGTCAAGTATTGCTTTATCAACACCCCGCTAATAACAAATAGTTGTAAGCGCTGGTTCCCACTGGCTAATACATGTATTATTTACTTCTAAGGGATCCAAATAAATCCTTCTACGCATCCCTCATAGTGTGTTACCAACTAAATAAAACCATTCCGGCCAAATACCTCACCTCTAGCTTTGTCTAGTTAGTTCTTCTTTGTCGCCCATTTTCTTGCAGCTAGATCTTCCACGCCAAGAATATCCTAGGAGTTATGCTTGCCAAGCACTAGGCGTGCCTAACTTCATCATCCACAAAATGACTAAGATGGTAGCATCGTCATCTTGCAAAGCCACCACATAGTGCCATGCCTCTAGAGTCCATTTGATCCCTTTGTATATAGCCATAAATATATGAGGCTGAAATCACTTGATATATAAGCCTAATTAAACTCACTGGAATTGATGAAGGTGTTATCAACAAAGAATAATAAGGCCTCACAAGGAATCAACAACGAGGCTAATATTTAATTTTTGGTGATGGATTTTGTGACGTAACAACAAATTCTTTCTTTTTCCCCTTTTTGCAAGACCTAATAACCTCTTCATCGTAGGTGTTTTACCTGCGACAATAGTGAGATGTTAATTCAACGAGAAAACTATTAGCGTAGTTGGGCCCACACAAAATAAAAGTTACTCCAATAACAATTGGATGAATGAGTGGACAGGAAGCGTTGGGGTGCTCTGCTTGTTTTTTTATTCGGTTATTTCACAGCTGTGCCTTCGTCAGACGGTGATTCCGTCAGACTATAGTGGCCAACATTCTAGGAAAAATTATGGGACAGAGGGAGTACCTTGAATGGTATTCTACCAAATACTACATTTTGTAGCTAGTCAAACTATTGAGTTTTGACAAAATTTATAAAGAGTATCGATGCTTATGACTTCAAATATGTATGTTATAAAAATATATATAATAATTAATATAATGATACTTCTTTGATATCATAAATATATTTTTTTTGAGCATGAGATATTTTGACTAAGCAAATATTCTAGAGTTGCAAAAAAAAATTACAGTTGGCGTATACCATAGAGTAGCAGTTCTAATATTTCGTTTTAAACAAAGACCACATTGTAGCTCAGCTCCGGCCTCCGGAGAATTGTATGGCTCGTGACTACGGGGATGGCCCGCGTGTAGCTCCAGTGCAGAGGTCCTGAGGGCCCAGACGATGCAGATAGCAGTATCTGATAGGCGGATACCGGATTACCAGCCAGTCCTCCAAGCCGGGATAGCGTAGCTTTGCACAATTGCACGAGCAAAAGCCAAAAGCTGCTGGCTCGTGATGGGATAGGCACAGCACAGTGCACCAAGCCCGTGAGACGACATGCGTTTAGTACAGTACTCCTCTAGCCTGGTCGGGACGTCGAGGCCAGCAGCCTGTCTGACTGGGCCAGGCATTTCCAGTGAGGACGGAACCAAACAGGCGCGCAATTTCGAAACGGCAACATATCGTAGACCGATAAATTTGAAAACTATCCATCAGAACCACTAGATACTTATCCAATAAATAGGGTGAGAGGGCTTAAGTGCAAAAAAAATGTCGGCGGGTGAAGAGCTTAAGCGCAAAAAAATCTCACCTCTCACCCTATTTATTGGATCAGCATCTAGGGATCTTGATCAGTAATTTCTAAATTAGCACATATGCGTTGCCTTAATGAATACCCCGCATGCGCCGATGCGCGTGGTTCCTGGGCGCCGGCTCGCAGGGGTGGAGAAAGAAGAGGAGGCTCTCGCCCGGTCGCGATTTTATCCCAGCCCAGTAAAGCGAAGCACTGTGGCCCAGCAAATAACGTGGGTCGCGAGAAGCCCATGGCCAGGCGTTTAACGTGGACTTTTTGCAGCAGATAGCGCACGCGCGCTCCGGGCCTCCGGCGCCCGCGCTCCCCTTCGGTCCCCCGGACTGTCGATCCCCAGACCAGACGGCCCGCCCGACCTCTCCCGTCAAACGAAGCCGCCGGCCGCGGCACGAGAGCGTGGGCGGCCAACGACGCCGCCGGACACGGTAGATCCGATCGAGCGGCCGTGTCCGTGTCCGTGTCCTTCCTTCGCCGCGCGCCTCCTCCCCACGTTGCCCAGATACGAGTATACGACAGACGACACGACCCCCGCGGCCCGCCGGCCGCCGCGACCGGCCATCTCCCCCCGGCGCGACGTCTTCCCACAATCCCACTTCCCACCCCCACACCGAAAGGGACCCGCAACTAAACAACCGACTGACTGTCCAGAATTTGGCACCAATGGCACCACACAAGAAGGTTATCATCAGAGAGTAAGAAATACATGCTGTCGACTTCGTGGAGCGTCAGTGAAGGTCTGAAGGACTCTGTCACCACTCACCATAAGGATCTTCTGAGTCCATAGTTTGAGATCCAGATCCTGGACGGACTAATGGGCGCAAGGCTCTGGGCTTCGTTCGGAGCAACATATCTGCGTGCCCATGAGCCGGCGGCCTCTTGGGAGGGTTTGCCAGGACCTCAAGTCGGGACCGACGTCCGTAACTTCTGGAGTATGCACTTGCATTCCAATTGCTACTGTCATGTCAAATCACTATGACATGATGTGATTGTTGGTAAGATTACGGTAGGGAGGGGGACATTTATCGGGAAAGACTCAAGATTGTCAGGTGCCAAAGCAAGCCTGGGCATATTTTTTACTAGGTGCCCTGTATAGTTTTCGCTCCAGCGCACATGGATCCTACCTCGTGTTTGCAACCAGGTACTACTAGAGACAAGTCGCAGAAACCAACGTTTATCTCTGTACTCTTGTCGGGTCAACGGTTAGTACAAACGTCCCTAGCAAAGGAAAACGTACTGCTCCCTTGCTAATACCAATTTGGTGATCATTGTTGCCGCTTGCTGTTCTTAATGATGCCAAATCCAAACTAAATCAGTTAAAAAAAAAAAAATCCAAACTAAATCTAGTTAGTAGGAGTACCAGTAACATGCCAGTGTAACTATTGATCGTCCTGATCGTAACTATTGATCATGGCCGGGATTTCTGGAAAGTGGAATTGCAGAGGCATGCAACAGGAGTGCTCTTTTGATGGATTGCAGAGGGGCTCGCAGTCGCAGTGCTGTGCATGCCCAGCGGGTACGGTGCCGGCATTGTGAACAGAAAACTGCAGTACTCATCCTCCTCCAAGGTATGAATTCGACACGTACGTCGACACATTCCAGCATAAATCAAATCAAGCAACTTGCTGTGATAGTGTGATGCATTCGATCTCCTTGCTGACTTTGATCTGATAGAATTTAGGATCACCTAGGTGTGTAGATCAAGAGAGTATGTTCTTATAAATCTTGGCATAAGCATCAAGTATGATCTATGGTATGAAACCTAGAGGCAGGTGTGGACCCAAGCATACCCTGTGGGGCAGACTTGCACTACTTAGCACTGGATTATAATTCTTAGATATGGATATCTGCTACTAAGGTAACCAGTACAACTTGTTAGCCCAGTGGTAAGCCCCTTGCTCTTTTGATCGATAGGTCGCTTGTTTAATCCTTTGCAGCTGCATTTGTTGTTAATATTTTTCATTTTTATATTTTCCATTTTATGTTCTCTTTAAATATTAACTGTAGCTAATACATTTTTTTCTTTAGTTTTCATAATTTTATCTCATCTTGTTGTGTCCCATAAAACTCAGTTGCAAGTAGTTTTAAATTTCTTATCTTTTATCCCCTCTCAATATTAATAACTATACATATATGATATTTCATCCTTTATTTTCTAGTTTTTTATCCCATGTTGTTGTGCCTCATGGTTCTTTTTTTCAATTTTTATACCCTCTAGATATTATAATTATCAATAATATATTTCATCCTTTATTTTACAAATTTTCATCCCATCTTGTTGTGTCCTGTGAGATACGCCATGAAATGGAATGGAAATTGGTAGCTATGTTTAGTGTCGTGTCCACTTTACAAAGTCTGCACTCCAACACTAGTTGTGCGTCAGGAAGATTAGGCAAATAAGTTGTTAGAGTGTGGTTCGCAGTTCGTCCAACATTAATATTAGAAGATAACATATCATGTGAGTTTTTTTATGAAATTTAATTGATACGGTTTACGGAATTGGGAATGTTTTTACCGAATTGCATAAGAAAAATTTTATGCAGCATACCCTGGGTTAAAATCCTAGGTCCGCCACTGCCTAGAGGAGAGAGAGAGAGAGGGAGAGAGGGGATAGATGTCGCTGACCATCGGGCTTGGTGGAGGAGGAAGCCATGGCGATGGTGTCGATGAAGGAGTAGCAGTGGCATCCTGACGGCGGTGT